GAGAGATGCTGGTACCATCCTCGCGCGAATTAATCATGATATTATATTTCGCGCGAAATTAAATAGTAAACTATTATGTGGTTGTTTAAAACTTTTATTAGAAAGGTTAATTTTTAATTAAAAAACTATGGTGCAGCCAGTCTAGTTAAATAACATTTTCTTTATGTTAATGCAGAAACTTTAAAACTTGTTAATAAGAAATCAAAGAAAAAAAAAAACTATTTAAAGTCTGAATATTTAGTACTAAAACTTTCGGCTTATATATGCTATGCTTTTTATTGGCTATTTTACATTACAGTATATATGAAGAGGACTAAGCCTACGTAGTGTTTCGCACAGATCGAATCGGATGAATTTTTAAAGATGCAGATCTGGATCTGGACCAATTAAGAACTAATCCGGAACTGTCAAACTAATATAAAAACTTGCAAGAACCTAATCAATTAATGGTTATACAACTAAATGCAAAATAAATATTATTGTAAGCTAAACAACTGTTCAAATTTATGTGCATATTATATGTTTACGTCTAGTTATATAGTTTGCTCCATTAATTGATCGATTTCAATTATTTATCTAATTGATCGATCTAAAGATGTACCAAATTTTTTTTACGTAAATTACGTAAACACGTATAGTACGTATCTAGCGATCTGATTGGCTGGTAGAAAGGATCGGCAAAAATTTTCGCGTACATCGCGTACAGTCAGTGAAGGAAATCTAAAAAAAAAAATTGTTTTATTAATTTATAATTTTAGGTTCTTAAGAAATTTTAATGTTCAAAATAAAGAATATAATTTAATTTGCAAATATTTTTTATTAAAAAAAAATTTTATTTTATATATAATACAGTCTAAATGCAATGCGACGGGACCATATATAAAAATTTAGTCATACGTGCACTTAGAGAGGTATTGCATTTAGGGAGGTAAAAATCTAAAGATGTAATATTAGTTGGGCCCAAGAGAAGACGTGCATTTAGGGAGGTGTTTCATAGGATGTGCACTTAGGGTAACATTTAGGGAGACTGACTGTATAGCAAAAAATAAAAATAAAAAACTTTATAGTATTATAAGATTTAAAACTAAGAGATAATTAAGAGTATTATTATGGATTCTATTATAAATTTTGTTTTAATAAAATTTGTTATGAAAAAATTCATTAAGTACATTAGAAGGAGGTAAAGTTAAAAAGCAATAAATATGTAATTGGTTAACATAATGATTAGCTAAAGTAAATTATATTTTACTATTGTAATAAATTGTAAATACAAATATTTCATTATTTCTCTTTTTCATTTTTTACAATTCTTTCTATCTGATGTTTTCAATGAATTGTTTTTCAAATACCTTAGCAACAAAATGACAAATAAATGATTTAAACCCTTTTATTATACTGAAAACTTAGTTCTGTAAAAAGATCATTGTTGAGAAAAAATATTTTCTATATGTGATCTTGAAATACCAACAAATATCTATTCTTCAACTTTCTTTTTCTTCTATTCTATATATATTAATCACTTTATCTTACATAACCTTATTATTATAAATTTTAACAATTATTATAAATTTAATAAATATTATAAGAATATTAAAAGAATGGTAATTATTTTTGAAAACATAAATTACAAATTCTATGTTCTTGATTTGTTCTCAAATGAGAACATAATTTTAAATTTTATGTTCTTAATTTTTTTTAATGTTCTTGAGAACATTGAGAGCATTGAGAACATCAGATTTCCAACACTGTACAGTACGAATAGTAGTATACGTGGCACAAATGCTAAATATTTGTTCACTTGGAACACTTTGATTTCAAAGACTCGTTTTATTTATAATTGCAAGGATTTTTTTGTCTAAGAAACAAAGTCTCAAAATACCAAACAACGCGCACGCGACTAGGAACGGCACGTCTCAGTATATAGGAAATTCACGATCGATATCCTTAGCCCACCGATATAATCCTCCAATAACATCCTTTATTTCTCCTTGCAAAGTCTTTTTTAATGCTTGAACAGCAAGTTGAGAGTCATTACCCCTACGGCAGATTACATAAACTTATTCAACATTGAATTATTGACATGTTAACATTTTGTTTTTTTTTATATAAATCAAAATTACAATGTTATCATTAAAATCACACCTGGTGCTGCAGTTGATGGTAAAGATTGTTGTATCAAGTCCATTTTTTTAGGAAGTTCGTTTAATGGGATGTCTTTTTGTTACATTTCAACAAGATGAACAAGATGATAAGATTACATTTGAAAATTTTACCAAAAAAAAAAAAATACAGTATTTAAGCAAAAAACTATAATTTCCGACTTACTCAGTGAGCCAGGTAAATTACAAATATCAAACTGAACAGGTTCACGTACATCAATAAGGACATGTGGGATGCCTTTGGCTCTTAAAGCAAAATAAGACTGAAAAATGATTTGAACATCAATTTCAAATTAATTGTAACGTAAACTTTAATTAAATACCTTTGGATCTATTCTTTCGTCGTCACCGAGTAATTTCACTAAGGGTGACTGTAGACTGATCACTAAGATTGCAACAAATTATGCGCATACAGAATGTTGTTTTTAGAATCGTCATACCTTGTCCAATGCACCGCTGCCACAAAACTGAACATAATCTTGCAATGTTGTTATAGTTGGATGATCACTACATATCACACAATTAGGCTTTTTCGATCTTAATTTAATGGATCGAAAGAGGGGGTTTGAGTTAGCCGAGAATATCAAAAGATTATGGGAGGTTCCGTCGTCTAAACGTTGATGGATATTAAATATAGAAACGTTACATGCTTTCACGTTCAAATTGTATAACTAATTGTTAGCTAGCAAGAAACAATTGCAGAGTTTGAATAATGTTTCAGGCCAATTGTCATATAAATTTTATAGTTACAAGATTCTATTTTAATGGTTCATAGTGTGGACCAGTTGGATTTTTTTTTTTTTACTCAATTAGATGAGAAATATATTCACCATTCATATCAGCAGCAATTTTTATTGCTTGTAAAGCTTGTAAGCATCCGATCGTTCCTGTCACTAAGTATTTAAATCAATTAAGATCATATACAAGCAATTTTATAAATGATTTAATCATGAAATAAACAAACCAACACCCAAAATTCCACCATCATCACAGTTTAGAACACTTTCTGGTGGTGGAGGCTTTGGGAATAAACATCGATAACAGGGTCCGCCACGATAATTGTACACAGTTAATTGTCCATCCATACGTAAAGCGCTACCAGACACCAAAGGCTTGCCAGTTAGAACACATGCATCGTTGAGAAGATAGCGAGTAGCGACGTTATCAGTTGCATCAATGACTATATCATATCTATAAATAGGTTAATAAAGAATAATTAAAACATCAAGATTTACTGTAGACCCACTTTCTTATAATGTCAAGTGCATTTGAACTATCCAAAAGGAGATCATATGCAACACATTCACACAATGAGTTCAATCTACGTAAATATACACATTATAGATGATTAATATGTTTAATAAGTAATGGTTATCCACCAAAGAATTATTGTTATTACCCTTGTATAGTCATTTTTGCAGACTGAGCTTTAGATATACCAGTTCTTGACTCGTTGTGAATTATTTGACGTTGTAGATTTGATGATTCCACTGAATCATAATCTATGATACCCAAATTGCCTACGATGATCAATGAATTTTAGCCTTTGATAAAAATACTCAAACCAGTTGACAAAGCAGCTCATTACCAACACCAGCTGCTGCAAGATACAATGCTGCAGGTGCACCCAAACCGCCGGCTCCAACAATTAATATTGATTTATTCTTAAGTTTAAGTTGACCTATGAAACAAATGTACAAATCGAATTCTCAAATTTTCAAATTTATAGATTATTATTTGAGCATGCGTATATATATATATATTTATACCCGAAATACCAAAACCAGGAAGAATAAGCTGACGCCCATAGCGTAAATACTCTTCTAAAGACAATGTGTTATTATTCCTTAGCTTAGTTGTTTCCGATTTAACATCTAAATTTGAATGTACATTTATCGGCTTTGAATTTACGTTTGTCAATGATTGTAAACATATGAGTTGATTTTCCAATTGTTTAACTTTATTCTTGAGTTGTTCATTTTCATCTTTTAACGCAGAATAAAGTTCAAATAAAGTATCATATTCGTTTTTGTCAGTCTGACTTGGCATCATTGTGAAACTTGTTAAAAGTAATGTATGTGGAAATTTGTAGATCGTTTTATGACCTGGTAGAATCTTATTGGCTTTGCTTTTACATCTTTTATATCTACATAATAGTAACATTACACGAAAATTTTCATACGCTTAATAAATTAAAAACAATATATTGAATATTTTCAAATAATTTTAGATGAATATAAAAATAAAAGCGAAGTTGCAAGCAAGAAGCTGCTAAAGAAGTATATATTAAACCTACATCAAATAGTACAATTAGAAAATAGGCCAATACTTAGCTTGAAAATAATGATGGTTTTTCAATAAGCAAACAAGAAAAACATTCAAAAATAAAATCTTTACCTGAAAATTCAGAAATTAAAATCTGAATATTGGATAGATTCTCAAGGTGGTACTATAACTTCTGAAAAATTTAGAAGAATTTTTAGATAATAAACCTATTGGTAAAAAACAGCAACTAATTGGTTAAAAAAACTTGGATATAATTGTTGTTGAACCTCACAAGTTATTATCAATAAAGAACTTCCTTCCGCGATTCGTTATGAGTGCACCTAAAGATTTCTCGCACTTGGTAATTTTTTATGAATATTAAAAAAAGGTATATATTTGTTTTTATATATTACGATATATAATTTATTTACATAATAATATTTAAAATAATTATTTTAAATAGGAATATATCGGGATGGACATGAAAGAAGTGATGTTAAATCATAGAAATTTATTATCATTACCAATAGGGTATAATACCTATTATAATGTTTTATAGTACTCTATATATTAAGGTCGGTTAGATTTAGAAACATGTGTGATTATATGTAAAATTAAATGCTAAACAATTTTACTCAGATACCTACATATGGTTTTAGTAAAATTTTGAGATAATGATTTTTAATTTTTTTGTTTCTTATACCGAATATCATACCCAACTGGTACAAATAGAAATCTCCTATATTTATTTATTTAATAAATATTTGAATTCTTCAAAACAATAAATCAAGTGAATTTGTATTAATTTTTAACCAAATTTTCCTAAAGTATCTTACAGATTAAAGTATTTTTTAAAGCTGTTATTTTATTTATCAGATAGTGAAAACGGTTTCACTAATCACATCAGTGGTGTTCAACAACACAGTTGCTATATCTCAAAAACCAGCTAAATAACCAATGTTGGATATACTAAATAAAAATGTTCACATCCCAAAAATGTATCTTCACTATAGTTTAGGTTCCTAAATTTTGCTAGCAAAACTATTAATAAATGTCGCGGCTGATGCTGAGATTTGAGGTCTCAATTTGAGTCCACTAAACCTATCACAATTATAATAATTATTACGTATTCTGCATAAATAATCATTATCATGATCCCTGATATAAAAACAGGGATTGTTGAGTGATTTTTAGAAAACCCGGTATACTATTTTATTAACGATTCTAATAATGAATCGTAACCTAATCCTAAAAAGAAGCACAAAAATGCACCCCAAAGATTTTTTAAATTTCATATGTCAATTCTCAGCACCAGCCGATCTCAGCTTCAGCCGCGACAATAAATATATATGATGTTGAACACTACTGATGTGATTTAGTGTCATTGTATAAAAACAGTACTTGGTAACCTAATAAACAAATTTATTAAAAAAGATTAGCATTGCATTAATATATGTATAATATCAGATCAGATTCAAAACATGCATATTAGACTACATTAATCATAATAAGAGAATCGCATCTATGCAATGCATATTTATCTCCAATTTTTTGTCTCTAGCCCTAAAATTTTTTTTTTACTAATATAAATGAAAAAAAATTTAATATACTTATTAATAAATTTTGGTCTTCCAAAACTTTATTAATATTACAATCAATTTCCGCAATATTCACATGGTAAAACCAGGCATTTATGTGTCTATTGTGAAATTGTGAAGCGAGCAGGAATTTATATATATATATATATATATGATTAGATAAAAAAATCAAGCGAGATTATGACAAATACGGGTGTGACTAATGCGGGAGTTGACTATATACTTTTGCTATCTACATAGAACATTTTTCGTATATCAGAATTATATAAAAATGATTCATATATTAAATTGATCCAGTTAATATCAATCACCTCTTAGGATCGAAAATTGATTAGTAACATTTCGTTGATGGAGGTTACTCCTCTTCTTCTGTATATTCGTAATTTCTCGCATGTTCACTAACAATGTGTTGATAAAATTCCTTGGGATATTCTGTCGTTGACAAGAAAATTATGATTATTTAACTCATATAATAAATCCACTTGCTTTTTGAAAAGTAACATACCTGAGCCCCTGATCGTTAGGGCATAGCAGGCTAATAAATTTATGTGATATAAGAATTAATAATATGAATACCAATTTTTTTATAATTAGGTGATATAATATTAGTTTAATAAAAATACCATCTTCAACTTTTGATAAACTTTGGCGCATTGCATCCATTTTTCGACCCAAGGGAGATCTTGTATGAATTCTAAGAATTTCAAAATCTATATATATTTTTTGATATACCGAGTGAAAATCAAGAGATGCTTACGAAATTATTGAATAATGATTGAAAAGAACGATTTTGAAATATTAACGTACCAATTTTTATATCACGTAGGAATTGACAAACTTTAATCGCTCGATCATGATCTCCTTTTCCAACACTATTAATTGCATATCTCATTAATTCACCAGTTAGATCAGCAAGACCCATTATATAGTCTTGGCCCGTAATTAATAAAAACTAAATCCACATATTTAATATTAATAAAATAATTAAATTTGTTTATCCGTAAGGTAGTAAATTTCATTCGCATGCCTGAGTACCAGTTTCATCCATGAAATCATTTTCAACTTGTTCTTTTGTAATCAACCGATCATTTTGCAAATATTCTAAAAATGAAATAGCCTCAATATACTCTTGAATTGAGGGAGAAATGTTTTTATGATACCTACAAACTTAATTGCGTTTTAATCTAAAAGAATAAGAAAATTAAAAAATAAAAATTACATTTGAATCAAACAAATCATTACCTATAATAATTTACACCCTCCAAGTCAAGAGAAATTTCTTTGAACAGTTGAATTATTTCTTCTTTTTTCTCACTTGCTTCTTGAAGAATCGATTTTAATGGTTTTTGGGTAACTCTGAAATATAAAAAATTATTCCATATTAATATTAGAAAATATTAATAATTTTGAATTAAATATTATTACCTGTGCGCAAGGCCAATAAGTTTTTTACTTAAAGCTGTGATATCTCTTTAATGTGAACGAATAATTACAACATAGACAAATTAATATTTGAAATTTCGAGACAGGCTGAAATATATATATATATAGTAAACCTTGATGCCTTGACAATGCGCTCTCTCCTATCATACTTTGTTTTCGTTAGCCCACTTTCAAAGGAAAACAGTAAACTCTAAATATGGTATTTTTAACTCACATGTTGGTCTAGTGAATCCCTAAAAGATTCGAATAACGACTTGATACTAACTTCACCCGCGACGTCATTGGAATCTGGCTTATTAATTATCGATAAGCAGTCCATGGTCGAAAAATTAAGAAACGAATTCACAAGCTAAATATATAACTAACAAAATTTTGCTGATCTGCATAGATTGACCAATTAGAATGAAAGACGGCAATTAATCCAAAATACAAAGCAAGAAATAAAATTGAACTCATATGAGAATATTTCTAAAAATTTCACGTACGTACGTACGTTTCGCTTTAACATTCCCTCATGTTGATGTTTGGCATTTTTGAATCTGACAACAATCATTTTAAAAGTGTTATAGAAATTCTGGCGCCAAGAATTGAAAATACACGTATTAGTAATCATGAAAGCTGGCAAAGAAAACGGTCATTTTTATCAAAAATTCAAACTTATATATTACAGCAATTATAACATAAAATAATACTTCATAATATTTTATTGAATCATGAATCAATATTATAAAATTTCTATTATAAGCCTGGTAAGTATAGGGAATATATACCATCACTAACAAATCATTAACAGTTCTACGTTTTAAATATTATAAATTAATTACATAATATGACTCAAGATTCTTACACATGAATTTCATAAACATGCAGGTAATATACTAAATGGCCTCACAGGATTTGATTCTTCTAGATCTAAAGCATACCATAAACATTCTTTAGCTCTATTAATTCTATTGGTATCTTGGCATATTTTGCCTAAATATAACCTAATTGAAAGTAAAGTAAATGACAATTAGTTCCAATAATCATTGATATATTTTTCGTCAAATTCATGATAAAAACAATATCTGAAGAAAACAATAAAGTACCAAGCTTCTGCACAGTCCCAACCATTGCCCTTAGTAACACTCTCGAGAAGGCCTTCCGCAATATCGATATTATCTGTTTCAATATAGGTTCTTGCTAAATGAACAAGAGTTGGAACATGACTTCCATCAATTGCAAGAGCTTTATGAAATGATGTAATTGCATCAGCATATTGCTTTTGAATAGAAAGCAAGTAACCAAACTGTAAAATTATATTTATTTATCAATAGATACACCAATGTTGATATTAACAAATAAAATCGATATATTATATGGTACCTGACACCATACATCCGGATTAGAATTATCAGTCTCTTCAGCATTTTCTATAGCTTTCTGTGCTTCTTCTAAGTTGCCAAGACGACGAAAGGTCGCTGCAGAAGAAAGCCATAAATCTACTAAACTTTTAGTGGCTCGTTGTTTTCTCTTCCGCATTTTCAGAACTGGTTGTGAGGGTATGGTAAATGATGTCACCGATTTAGCAGACGGAATACCAGAAATGGTGGGTGTTGTACTACGACGAGATGATGCTGAGTTCCTGGAAGACGCGATTGATGATGCATAATTTGCCTTGGGAACCTCTAATAATAATGCATTATAATTTTTTTATTTTTTATAATTTAATAGTTTATTGTAAGAGGTGAAAAGTATGTAAATCATCAATCTTAGCCAATTTACCAAGTGTATCTTTGTTTCCTAGTCCAATGCTTGAAATGGATCCGTCAGTACTTTCATCCCCATCTTTCTTTTCAATGATGCTTGGAAAGTTTCGTAAACTAGTTGCAGGCTTTGGTGATTGTGCAGTTTGTGTTTGAGTATCATCATGCTTCCGTGAACTAGGTAAATCATATGGGAGGTCACTTGGAGATATCAAAGTATATTCAGGAAACATTTTTGCATATAAAGTGAAAAGCTTTTCATGGTTCTGTATCGCAGTTTCAGGGCCATTTGCTAACTCTTGCAAGGCGTTCTGTGTTAATTTAAAAGATAAAAATTCTTCACCATCATCAATGGACGAATCCGCATTCTCTAAATCCGTTTCGTTCAAAAACATTTCACATGCTTTCAATGCACCTTGAATATCTTTTTGAGAGGACATGAGAAGGGTAAGTAAATGCCAGCAAGGAATGCTCTCATTTTCTAATACTATAGCTTGTCGCACGCAAGCAGTTGCTTTATTAATGTCTCTTGTAATTGCATATTCTAAGGCCAAAAGATAATGCGTTTCAAAAGCATCCGGATCAAATGATATCGACTTATCAAGAGCTTCGATTGATTTGGAGTGAAGATCAGGACGGTTCTCTGGATCAATTACTATTGGTGATAAAATATGAAAGTACGACAAGGTTTTCGAAATAATTCATATCTCAGATTAAAAATGCGACAATAATTAAATAAACCAACCTTCACGTGCAGTTAAACTGTAGCCAACACCAACACAGCGCCAAGCATGAGCTAACAATTTATTATCCACAAAATCATCGTCAATTTCACACCAGTTCACAGCTTTTTGTGCATATTCCAGAGTTTCATTTGACTATATATCATAATTGATCATAAAATTTTGTGTACAGAAAACCATTCCTTAAGAATACAAATAAATAATATAAATAATATAAACACCTTGCATAAATGTTTTGCCATCATCTCTGAACCAGTAATCAATACTTTCACGACATGCTCGATACTTTCGTTACCAGAAAACTTATCTTCATGTGTATTCTCTGCAGAAGGAATCTTTTTAAAAACTTCAGCTGTTTTTGTTTCCCTAGTTTTCTCAACCAATGCGGTGTAGGCTTCTAAAGCTAACTCGGCTTCATCATAATCACCAAGTGTGTTCAATGTAAATGTTAAATAACGTAGAATTTTTGGAGATTGAAAGGTTCTTTGAGCAGCGCGATAAAGCATCTGCATTAATCAAAGAAATAATTATTACATATAATTGGTAACAAAACGCAATTTCTAAACTATTAGATATGCTAACCTCAATTAATCCTCGCATTTCTGCAGTTGTTCCACCATTTAACACAACCCAATCAGACATTATCTGATCAACCATTTCCAAAACTCTCCAATTTGTTTCACCAGCCTTGGGAAATGACGTTATTTGGTATAATACACTCTCATATAGTGTATGCAGTCCAGTTAACTCGACGCGGAACGTATGCGGTGTATATACAGCAGACTGTTCGCTACATGCAAAATACGTATTTATAGTCCGTATAATTTGCAACAATTAAGAACTTTATATACTAGTCAGATATTCGATTATATGAATTACATACTTTAGTATAAATGCGGTAGATACACTTGGCGGAACATAAGCTTTTTCTTGGTACGTCTTCGAAAGAAATTTTATAAAGTTCATAAATATGACAGCACGCTTATGAAGTCTGAATTTTTCACCCCATGAAGTCGAATATTGTTGATATGTTCTAAAGGCTTGAAGTGCTCCGTTAACATCTCTGTAAACAAAATAGAAATTTTTATGTTTGTAAAGTACAAGTTACAATCTTAAAGTTATTAAACCCTTGTTCTTACCCCAATCTTACTTTCAGTAATGATGCCCGATATAGAACTTCTTCCGTCCAATGTGTCAATTGTTCATGTCTTTCACCTGAATATTGTGCCAGTAAAGCGCCAACTTGATCATAACAAGAGATTGCACCATCATAATCATCAAATATTTCTTGCGCCATTCCTATAACAGGAGAGAAATTCATAAAATTCATTCTGGTAATAAATCAATCATTCCAATATTCTTCAATGTATAAATTTTTCTCACAAACCTTTTATAGTTAGGCCTTGAATGATAAGTACGAAATTGTATCCTACCGGTATTTGAGGTGGAACAAAGTTGGTACTCAAAGTCTGGATACATTTGTCAAATCTTCCCACAGAGAAGTAGGTACGTGCTAGTACAATAGAAGTGTACTATAATTGTAGTAGATAAAAGGATCATTCCTTCTTTTCGTCAGAAAATTATCGAATGAACTAACGTTTTGATCATAACATAATAGTCATCACCATTTTGATTTAAAGCAATTCTTGAGTAAAAAAAAAAAAAAAAAATTGTCATAAAAAACTTTGCAATATATGTGCAAAACTATAACGTAAAAGAAATTTGACATACCTTATTAAATAATTTTTAAGTGAAGGCGTTCCTATCACTTTCTATCGAAGATTGCATTGGCTCACCTCTTTCTCTTGTCCTGAAGCATGTGAAAGCGCCGACTCTAATTTAGCAAATACGTCACTGACTAAAGACTCATCAACAGTTGGGGGCATCGAAATATGATCGGGCGAATCATTATCATAAATTTCCTTTTCATCCTTAGTTTTTTCAATCGCTTGTACTAAAGCTAATTCCGCCAATACAGTCTGTTCTAAAACTATAAAAATAATTTAATCATGTTATCAATTAGTAGCAAAAAACAATAAATATAAAAATTACAAAGAAATAAATAAATAAAATAAAGTAAACTACCTAGTCCATCAGGACTATGCTTTCGATATTTTCTCGCTAATTCAGGAATTGCACCCCAATTCCCTTGAAAAATTATCAGAAATCAATCATTATGTGTGGTAATCATCGAAAATTTTGTACAAAATTTATTTTTTTTTGTAAAATACCCTTGCATCGTGCAGCATCTATTTCTTTCTCCCGTTGATTCGCTTTAATTATGTTTACCATCGAATTAAAATTTTAAATTTAGAGATTATATTGAAAAATTGTGGGAAGAGTTTTTGAAATACAAACATTAACAGCAAGGAGATCATTTGCTTTTTAAATGCACCTTTTCAAAAATAGGTTCTAGGGACTTGTTTTAATTGGTTATTAAATAATCGCAGATTTTAATGTTAACCACCCAAATGTGGTAAAGATTTCTGTCTACAATGATAACTACGCGAAAGGGTTAAAAAACATATTATTCTTGAGATTTTCAGATCTTAACTTCTTCATTATCTTAAAGTAATAATAGCACCGATATCAGCATCAGAGTAACAAATAATTTAAATATAACTATTACGATTGTTCTCATAAATTCTGGGACAAACTAAAAATTTCTTGTTACCCAATCTTTTCGGTTTCGTCTTGTAAAATTACCTAACTCTCCGGAAACTACATCTATATCTTCGAACCTTCAGTCCGGAGACAGCGATGTAATTTCTCGGAGGGTTATGTGATTTATAGGACGAAACCAAAAAGATTTCGAGTAACGACCAAATGTTTAATTTATCACAGATTTATGAGAACAGCTATAATGCTATCAATACCAAGGTATAGAACCAACTTTGTCAGGACTAGAGTCTGGATCTGGATTCCCTTCAGATTCGGACTATCTGTTTTCATAAATTCTAGGAAAACCGTATCGCTAGGGCCACCGAAATTCTGCGATAGCATAATATGCGCATAAAACATGGATTGCATAGCATATGCGATAGCATATTTGGCATATCAGAGTAGATTTCGCATAATTCGTAAAATTTTTAGCGAATTTAGGCAAAATTATAAATGATTGAATAACCGGGGTTCCGATATAGACAATCAGTGAACCTAAATCACGAGTGTGTTCCTTGGAAGGATACGGAGACTTAAGGTCAGTTTTTTTAAAAAAAAGATCGAATCGATTGTATAAATTCGCAAAATTTATGGCATAATTTTAAAAAAGTCGCAGAATTTGCAGCATAAATAAGAAAAATATTCGCATAATTTCGCATAAACAGGCTTGTGAAGCAGGCAGAATTTGGGGTCTGTCGCAGCAGAAAATCGGAAGTTCAATTATTGGGCATTACGCCTTTATTATTATTTGTACGATATGATTATGTCTCAGCAAAAACTATGGTTCATATATGGAAGGCAATCAATTTTAACTTATTTTGGGCCTTACGGATTTGTAAAAGATTTTAGTTCTCTTTGAGATCTCTTCGCATTCACTATTAGAGTTTGCAACCAGTTTTAACATATGAGTGTCGCCAGAAGAAAAACCCGCAATTCTAAAAATAGATTATTATGGGATTCAACCATATCCACCGATTTGATTTTTAGGGTTAGAGATACAAAGTATTTAATTAATATAAGTTTGATTTCTATTTTCTTTCTATTTGGAATTAGTTTGTAACTTTACAAATAGTAATACAAATCTTTCTAAAAGTAATAATAAATTATTATGTATATATTATATTTTAATATAAAACTGCTTTACCCACAAAGTTCTCAGTTAAAACACTTGCCAAATATACTTTTTTTAGTAAAATCTACTTGAGCAATTAAAAAATATGTTATATTTTTAAATAATAGCGAATCTATTTGAATCTATTTGAATCTATTTAAATCTATTTAAATTATTGTAATAGTATTAGTAAATGATTATAACTAATTTTCACCCGTGGTGATATCACCCGGTATTATAAAATTTTTATTAAAAATTAAATAACCTTAAGATTAGGGGTTAAAGTTAGCTTTAGGTTAGAGTAAGAGGTATTGTTTACATGTAAAATTTGATGTTGAAAACTTTTGCTTAGAAGTCGAAGCGGGGTTGGCTAAAGCCAGGTACATCACAAGATTACCCGATATGTAACCCGGATCAGCCCGAACAAAACAAAGCGAGACGCCAAAGATTAAAACACGAAAAATACAAAAATTGGCTATCTAAACCAGTCTTGGTTCACTAAGTAAAAGTGTCAGAAATGCGATTTTATTATAAAAACTATTTAATTTAATCCCAACCCTAATATTAATCGATTTTAATTAAAAAATCGGAAAAATTAGGTAATATCGTGATGTACCTGGCTTTAGCCATCCCCCATATTTGGCTATTGCAGATCACATCTTATTTGGTAATGATCATCTATCAACTTCTTTCCAGATTATTCCATGTGCTATCAAAATTGGCCAATAAAATTACAAGAATATACTTGTAATCCAATACAGCAGTAATTGTTAAATAAACATCATAGTATCATATGCTTTGGCCTCATTTTATTATTGGTGGTCCAAATTGTAATACAAAGCAAATCTAGTGCTACTCTAAGTTACATAATGAAAGACTAATAGATTTTTATATATATTTTCTACAATACAATCAACATTCTACTTAAGCCGTTTTATTTTTGGTGCTGTCCGCTCTTAGTAAAACACCTCTAGAAGTACGACAAGAAGGAAACACAGATCACTCTTTTATAACCGACCAACTCACTATAGACAATGCTCACACAGATGATCAGGACTTGGACGAAGTCTTTGATTCTGATGAACCAAGACCCTGGTTTCTATGGGAGACCTCAAGAATTTGTCTACTGAAATTTATTCATATTGTACACTCTCAAAATCAGAACGATAAAAGATATTACGAGGAGAACCACGTAATGCCGAAGTTGATTACAAACCCTCACAAATAGAACCTTACTTCTTATGTTCAATGTCGAAACAACAAAAGGAATTTGATAAAATCATTAGAAATATTTCTTACTGAACGTCGGCAATCCTACGCCTATTAATAATATTGAGAGAGCCCTGTATGAATCAAAATTTAGCGATAATGATCAAGAAGCTAAACAAGGGTATAAATTGTTACAAAAATCAACTCAAAACGCCAGGGAACTATTACGCGATGCGTTATCATATGCTAACGATTTGCAAAGAGAATTTGCTCTTAAAGCAATCTCCCCTATTCACATCCCGACCAAGGACAGAAAGTGTATATTTGGTGACAAGTTCAAAGATTTGGTGGAAGAAAAGAATACCAAATCCAAGCTATTCAATGATGTTAACAGAGAAAAACGTAGATTTTATACTAATCAATCAGCCCAACAGCCACACATTTACATGACCAAAAGATTTACATCTCAGAACAATCCAAGACATCAGGAATGGGATAGATTTAAGGGCCCTAGTAAGATGGGAAAAGCAAAACAAAACCAGGGAAACTTCCAATTGGACAATCAACGTAGTGGTCGTCCATAAGATCATGCCTGGTGCCAGGACGATTGAAACATTTCAAACAGAGATAGTTAGAAAAATTAGGAGATTCATAGCCAACTTCAATAGTAGTAAACGGTTACTCACCAGAATGGGATCATAGACCAACAATAGGATTCCACCCTATAAGGATCAATTTTATGAACAACGCAGATTTAGAACTAGCCAAAAAAGAAATCTCAGCATTACTACAAGCACAAGCAATAAGACCTTTTTCACAACAGGCACTGTGCTACATTTCTAATATTTTTATAGTCGACAAGAAGGATGAGAAAAAATGTATAATCCTGGATCTACGATCCTTAAATTCTTTCGTATGACATATTCATTTCAAGATGGAATCAATTGTCACTGTAAAAAACCTGGTCAGAAGAAACGATTATTTGGCTTCTATTGACATAAAAGACACTTTTTTTCACATACCTTTACATCCCTCTGCTCAAAAGTATTTCGTTTTCAACTTCTTGGGTCAACGCTTTTGTTTCAGATGTCTTCTGTTCAGCTTGACATCTTGCCCCAAAATATTCACAAAGGTAGTAAAACCTATAATAAAAATACTAAGACAAAAGGGAATACGGATTGTAATGTACCTGAACAACTTTTTGATAATGGCGAACAACAAGAGGACTCTGAAGTGGCATCTCTTGATTGTGCTAAAACTTCTGACCGAACTAGGTTTCGTAATAAACACCGAAAAGAGCCAAATGGTACCCACGCAATCTTTAGAATACTTGGGATTCAAAATAAATTCAAGAGAAATGACCATCACTTTCCCAGGAAAAAGGTAAATTAACTGAAACGAGAATGCAACTTGGTTGCGAAGATGTACAGGATTCACATCAGGAAGCTGGCAGCAATAATAAGGAAGCTTCTAGCAACGACAGGCGCAGTATATCCTGCAAGACTAAAGTCATGAGAATTATTAAGATTAAAAAACAGGGCCTTAAAATTAGGAGGTTGGAACATCTCTTTAGAACTATTAGTAAAAGCGAAAGAACAATTACTATGGTGGACAGAACAGCTAGAAAGGTGGAACAGACAATCTATGATATCAGAAATGCCATCAGTAACAATATATACAGATGCATCACAACACAGTTGGGGAATTTACAGAAGAATGACATTAATAAACGGGCTTTGGAAGGAAGAAGAACAGAAGCTTCATATAAATATATTAGAGATGAAAGCAATTCAATTCGCTCTGATGACATTCAAGGATCTGACGGGGAAGTTAGTTTTGATCAAAATGGACAACTTAACATGTGTAGCATACCTCAACCACCAAGGCGGAGTAGTATCTCCAGAAATCAGTGTAATAGCAGAATCAATTTAGGAAATGTGTCTCGAGAAGAAGATCAAGCTAAAAGCCCAACATGTACCAGGAATCCAGAATGTAATGGCGGATTATGCTTCCCGACTCCGGTTTAACAAACACGATTAGATGCTGAATCCCAAAACGTTCAACAAGATTCACAGCATGTGGGGTCTGTTCAAGGTGGATCTTTTTGCCAACAGGCTTAACACCCAACTGCCAACGTACTATTTATGGCACCTCGACCCGACTGCAACAGCGGTAGATGCCTTTTCACAACCATGGTCAGGAATGACGAATTATGCGAATCCTCCATGGATATTGATACCCAGGATTCTGACCAAAACTTAGAAAGAACGTGCTACTTTATGCCTAATAACTCCCCTATGGACATCAACGA